TCCCAAACAAAGCCCAACAACATTAATAAGCCATAGATTATGAGCACTACCGGAATGCCCGGTGCGTTGGGACAGTCTTTCGCATAAACAGCGCCTAAAATATAAATACAATTTCTGTGATTAATAACAAATAATTTTGACTATGATTTAACATGCTTACCCATTATAAAACAGATTATGGCGATTACCAAATTAATTATGACTACCAATAATTAATTGTAATAAGAAATAAAATATGTTTTAAATGAAAACTATAAGAAATCATGAATGTATAGCTTGATGCTACTTACCACAAATTAGTACACAATTCTTGTTGTAATACTTTTTGATCTGCTTTTTAGATCCTGATGTAGTTTTCTTACTACTCGTCCCATCACCCAAACCCTTGATCTTAACATTTTCTTTGTTCGAGTCCTCCATTAATCCATTTTCGGCGTCTATTTTGCTATTATTTTCTTCGTTCATCTTCGTCTCAATGATTTTTTACACAACCTTTCATATATCAGTTCAATGCAAATAAATTGATATCACTTTAGCTCTTAATTTGTGTATACGATATGAAATGAAAACAAAATGTTCATGAGCTTTATGCGAGTTTAATGAAGTGGTTAAACATTTTTGCAAATCTTAGAGTTTGTCTTCAATTGTTTGGCGATTGAAATAAAATGAAAGTTTTATCTGTAAACCATTTCCCACTATTTAGACACGACTTTTGTCTCCATAGCTATTGATAAGAAAGTATTTATTTCCACACCTTATTTAACATTATTGCCTAATCTACGATAACTATTATTTTAATGTTAATTCAATATCGTACAATACTGTATTGTCAAAATAATCATAATTTAGAATTATGCCAAAAATGTGTTAATCAATGTTTCTTTATAGGAATTCAAAAATGCAAGTTTTGAGTACATTTTATTTTATAGCAACTCAATAACTTGCTTGACACAAATCTAATAATCTAAATCTAAACCTGGCTTAAAATAAATATTAAAGATATACAATACATGAAGTAATGTCTTTTTATTAATTCTTTGATAATAATGATTTGTGTTATTTCTTATTTTTTCAAATATAACTTACGATAAACTAACTTAATTACACATAACAATTCTCCAAAATAAGTATTTTATTACAATTCACTTATAAAAAGTCTATATTAACAGAGAAAATGACTGAAAATAACAACAGGCCTTTTGATCGCTATTTACCAAGGTGGCTGTAATGAAATATTTCATAAATTTAACTGAAATATTTGACTTGAAAATAAATTTCAATCAATTTCACTTCGGGTCGCCATTCAATCGTTTTATAAGACAACTAATATACAGAATAATAATTTTTCCTATTCTGATGACTCTGATATTAGTAATAGTGATCTTGATATTCAGGAATATGACTCTAATCAATTTCACTTCGGGTCGCCATTCAATCGTTTTATAAGACAACTAATATACAGAATAATAATTTTTCCTATTCTGATGACTCTGATATTAGTAATAGTGATCTTGATATTCAGGAATATGACTCTGATTCTGATATTGAATGTATTGATATGTAAATCCAATACTTTTATACATTAAAAATAAATTTCACTGAAAATGCCAACCTTACTTTTTACACATTAAGGTGTTTTAAACCTTTTAGCACACCCTTTTTAAGAGTCTTTTATACAATGCTATATGTACCCGGGTACTTTGTTTATAATTCATTTTTACACACTCTTTGAGCTCATATTTCAATAAACACTCTTATTATTAGGCTTTTTATACATTTTTCGTTTCTTTTATACACTCTTTAATACCGGTAATGAACTTAAAACTAGAATTAAAACTATACAAACATTTTCACTAATAATTTATACACTAATACTGTAATCAATATTTTACAGTATTTGAAAAACTTTATTACAATTTACAATAAAACAACTTAAAATCAGAATATAAAAATATGATGTAGGATTATATAAATTAAAAAAATATTCAAAATAAATTAATGTACAAATTAATATTCGTTAATTTTAAAAAAGTCAAGAAATTAATTCAAAATGAAAATGTATTATCTGAATAACTGTCCAAAACAGCAACAGAAACACGTTATGAACAACAGAATAGCCATTAGTATGAGAATCGAGTTGAGTAACCAAAAGGCAAATAAATACAGGTATTGATTGCAATATTCTGTGGCACCAGTATCTTGGAAATCTGGTGAATAGCTGTCATACACCACAACTACCCCTGATAAGTGAAAGTTGTAGAAAATAATTCTCAATAAATTAGTCGGTTATTGAGTAAAATAGTCACAAAACTTACAAATGAGAAAACTGACAGTCGATGTGACCTTTAATAAAGTCATCACTAAATCCAATGTTTTAATTATATCTGAATTTGGATTTATTCGGCGTTTAATACTCTCTATAATACAAATCAATACATTTATGGCTCCATTCACTATAAGTACGGCGGGAATGGCGGGTGACAGTGGACAGTCGTTTATGTAAACTGATCCTAAAATTTAAATAAATTAACTTTAAATAAAAACCCAACAGGGTAAGTTAAAAATAAATTCTTATACCAATTATGATACAAATAATTTGCAGAACATTTGCTACGAATAAAGCGATAATACCTCCGACTATATAACAAAATAAAATAAAAATTTGTTAGTAATTGAAAAAACAAACTTTAAGTTAATTAATAATTTGTTTAATTGATTACAGGTGTCAAAAATAATGGACACAACTCTGTCGATGAAGTTAATGTGCGGTTCTGTGGCGTTCATATGTCTGATCCGGTAGAACATACTGTCCCTTTTGTGTCCATCATTTGTTTGGGACACTTCCTCGTGAGCTTTTGTCTCCACATCTGATGCCACATCTGATCCCACATTTGTGCCATCGGTTCCGTAGTTCTTAGCGCTCTCTTTGTGCGAATCATCCATTAATCTGTTCTCACAATCGTTTTTATTATCTCTTTCTTCACTCATTTTGTATATTATTTATAATATCCTCAGAATATTCGCTAAATTACTATTAAATTCTCATTAAAAACTAAATTCTCATAACAAAGTAATAATTAAATGATTTATTTGGTTATAGACAGTGAATATGATACAAACAAATGCATAGACAAAAATGAATGACTGAATAATTGTAATGTATTTTATTATCATTCAATAAACTTAAGATATTTACATTAATTATCGGTTTCCATAGCCATTGATAAGCACTAAAAACAATCAAATGAAATAAACTTCACTTTTTCGGAGCAGATTTGTTTTTATGAAACTTTTTGAGATAACAAATGAATAACAAATATATTTTTATAAAACCTATCAATTGTTTTCTTATTTGAATGAATTGCATGAATAATGATTGTCTGCATAAATGTTTTTTCAACTGTATTGTACTGATTGCGATAAAAAAAAGTATCAAACTCTTTAAATACAAATAATAATTTTTGTTCAGTACATGTATAGATATTTATAATTTATAAATTTTTTATGACAATTACATACTGGTTTACTATTCAATATAATAAAATACATGACATTCAATATCACATTTTGCAAAACTATATTTGATAGTATTGGTAGAAAGTTGGCTTTCAAACATAATTTTAGTTAAACTGTATACATTTTCTCACTATCACCAGGATAGAGTGAACTTAATGCACTAACATTTAAGTTGTTATCAAATTATGAAATCTAAGAAAAGTTTTATAAAATATTAAATAAATAGTTTATGATCCAGCAGTAAATATCTCAATATAAAAATAACTAGTTTTTATGAACAATATTTACTTTAGCTATCAGTGGCACTATTAATAGACAATAGTATGCAAATACAAGACTTATTGTCTGCTGATTATATAAGTTATAAACAGGTATTTGAATATAAGTTGCATTAACTGTAAACTTATATAAGTTTGAAGGGGTGTAAGTATATGCGAGTTATATCGCATAGAAAATGATTTAAATTTTAAAATATCATACAAACCTGTAGTTAACACTGGATTACATCAACTTTTTTCCTAACAAACCTAATGCACTGTTTAAGTGCAATGTGTTAGCAAAGTACTCAAGGACACACTATACTTGTCAGTGCATTGCACACAATTGGCTATTCATTATAGTAGACGACGGAAAATAAATTTATTTTATTATTTGCATTACTAGTTAAAAGTGTGACAAACAGTGTGTGTGACAGACAAGTGTTGCCTAACAGTAATAGACATCATAAACATCTAAATAGTTACACAAAATTCATTACAATTATTACAGTTATTAACAAATCACTAGCAAATGGGTGTCATTAAGAAGTTATTGCTGATCGGAGTGGTGGTGGGTATCGGTGCTGTGATCTACCCATTGGTGGTCACACCTCAACACAAATTGCCTGAACTTAAGGACAAATGGTTTGGCAAAACTCCACTCAAGAGTAAGTTATGAATGAATGCTAGCATTGGATAACTGTTTGCATTGAATGCCTAAAAACAGGTGGAGAAGCCTTTCCCAAAGAGTCGGTCGCTATCGACAAGTTTGTGGTGAATGTGTCCGAAGATGTATTGACAGACTTGAAGAGACGGCTGGAGTCGGCCCGATATGTGGAGCCCATCGCCGGCACGGCTTTTAATTACGGCTTTAATAGCGATTATCTCAAGAAAGTGATCGCCTATTGGAGGAATACATACGATTGGCGTAAGACTGAGACCATATTGAATCAATTCCCGCAATTCAAGACTCGGATCCATGGCATCGATGTTCACTTCATTCACGTGAAGCCATCCAAACCGGCCAAAACTGTCGTTCCTCTACTGGTTTGCCATAAAACATAAGATAATACTTTTAATTAACATATAATTAACACTTCAGATAACTCACGGTTGGCCTGGATCAGTTTGGGAGTACTACAAGGCAATCCCACTGCTAATTGAACCCACAAATGGTGTGGCGTTTGAAGTGATTGTTCCGTCAATACCTGGCTATGGCTTCTCGGAGGCACCACATCAGGAGGGTATGGCTGATGACAGTTGTCTTAAGACATAAGAAAACTAATGGTTAACTTTGAATTGAATGTAGGCTTCAATATTATGGAAACGGCGAGAATATTCGTCAAACTCATGAACCGCTTGAACCACAAGACATTCTTCGTTCACGGAGAAGATTGGGGTAGTATTGTGTCCAAAACCATGGCTCAGTTGTACCCAAACAAGTAAATCACTCGTTCATAACAGTCAATAAGTGGTGTCTTATCGTATGATCTATGATATAGTGTGCGAGGAATGCATATAACAATGGCTCAACTGGTATACGACGGGCCCACTATTGCGAAGATGATGTTAGGCTCCTATTTCCCGGCCCTTGTGTTCGACGACCCGGAAAGGGATCACAAGAAATTGTTTCCATTTTTAGATCAGTTTTATATGATATTACGAGAGTCAGGATACTTCCACCTTCAGGCCACTAAACCGGATACAGTGGGCGCCGCACTCATGGACAGCCCCGTAGGTCTGGCCGCTTATATATTGGAGAAGTTCTCGACGTGGACTGAACCCAAATGGCTGAATAAAGCCGACGGCGGACTCACCCAAAAGTTTACTTTAGACGAGTTGCTCACAAATATCATGATCTACTGGGTGTCCAATAATGTGGCCTCAAGTATGCGCTACTATAAGGAAAATGCCGGCCTTCTTATGGACGACATGAACAAGTTAGTTATTTGAAAATAAAATTTAACTCAATTTAATACTTAATACACTGAACTCGATGCCAGAATCCCGGTGTTGGTGCCCTCAGCCGTGGCTGACTTCCCCAACGAGTTGGGTCACGCGCCCAAAGCCCTGTTGCGGACAACACTACCCAATTTGGTTCAGTACACAGATATGCCTCGAGGGGGACACTTCGCCGCCTTCGAGGAGCCCCAACTGGTTTGCGATGACATCAAGACATTTGTCGCAACTGTTTTAGACATTGAATTGTCCGCAAAAGACAAGTTGAAAAATACGAAACAGTGATTAGAGATTGTTTTTATAGACATAATTATGAATGTAATACTTAATGTTAGAAATTATTTTGTTTTAAAAAATTAATACAAATAAAATTAGCCTTTAATTACTAATTATTATGGGTTCATCATTTATTTTTAAAAAATTAACTTCTCAATATTAAAATAATTTAATTAAGGCGGCTATTCATATTTAATTTGAAAATATTTTATGAAATGATTGTAATGAGTCCGGGACATTCTAGTGCCGCCAATTTCATTCAATTATATCTTTTTAAACTTTAAATTAATGGTTCGTTAATGTAATAAAATATGTGATAATAATTTAGCTGATACTGGGATATAATATGAATATAATTTGCGATGACATCAGAAAGTTTGTAATCAAAGTCAGGAAACACTAGTCTTTCAAAAAATTTAATAAATAAATTATAAATAAATAGTTTAATAAATGATTTATTAGATTCAGCCAATTGTAATTCTAATATATTATATGAATTGTTTAATAATATAATTCTTAATCTTTATCATTGATAACTCAATGTATACCCAATTGACTTTCAGCTTAAGACATAGGTATGTCATAACTCTATAGAAAACCAATTGAAGTACTAATGTCTTCCACAACATGTCCAGCATATCGTCCTTCAGTTGGAAGTGATATAAAACGGATGACACATATCCTTGAGGACATCGGTGCTCACCATACAAATAGACAACAATATAGTCCATTGAAACCTTAGCAGGCACCATATTGGTCATTTTGAATATAAATGATGGTAATTCTTGAGCGGGTAGGGATATATTTGAAAAAAGTAAAAGTACGGCCGCTATTAATATAGCAAATTGTGTGGAGTTCCCCTCGAATATAATGCCTAATATATGACCAAAACTTTGATACGAAAGGAATTGCAGTGTAAATACTAGTAATATATTTGCAAATGAATCGTCCCTATTATAATTGTCAACAATTTTGCAAAAGGCTATACTAGTGATCATGGTTGGTATGGTGTCTAATGTGCTTTTAACTATAAAATAAGCTTCTGGGCTGTACCAATCTATATAGATAAAGCAAATAATAAAAGTATTTAAATTATAATAATCTATTCAAATATATAGTCAAAAGCATTATATTTGTTACAATTCTTGTATTCCATGAGAAAAACTTTGAATTCAGTGGTGAATGTGAGTGAAGTAATAAGAATTGTGGAAAATTCAATATAAGCTATTAAAAATATAAGATAAGAAATGCTATAATTAATAATTTTGTTATCTTCAATAGTTTCGCCACTTTGACTACAAAATTCATTGTTTATCGATTGACAACTGGTAGGTCTGTCCAAATCAAAGTCAAATAAGATCATCAAAAATGTGGCCACAATTATGTTGAGTAAAAATTGAATGACAATAGTCTTCCAGTTGTATTGAACGGTGTATGTAAGGGATCGCATGAATAGGTGCCAAACCTGTTGAAAGGAAAACCCTTTTGTTTTAATGGGAATACCGTTTGCAAAGAGCATGAGTTGGCTATTCATTCGACTCGTGTATGCCTTCATGTCTTCATTTGTCTTATTTGACAATTCAATGACTGTTTGGTCGTTGAAACCATTGGACGCTATTTTCATTATCAACTCAATTGGGATTTGATTTTCACTGCAAATGATATGACATTCACTCAAATGTCTCCTCAGATGCTGTGGTCGACCGGAATATACAGAAACTCCTCCTTTGGCTAAGATATACAACATATCGAATAACATGAGAATCTCGAGGTTTGGCTGATGTATGGATGAGATGATGGATAGGTTGTGCTTTTGGGACAACCGTTTGAAGCACTGAATCATC